GCTGAGTCTGACTGTGATGACAGGTTACTATACTTATACTGTAACACAGCCAAGACAGCAGCCTTGATAAACAGCTGGTGCAAGGATTACAAATTCTTGCAGTTAGTGACCTCCTTCTGGGAAAGGTTCAAAATGATTTTCTTGTATTACCTGGGAAATCAGCAGGTGGAAATGGATCTTTCACTTCATTGACATTAGACTCAAATTCATCAATTTTGAGCTAAAAAAAAAAGAAAGAAAAGAAAAATGAGGATGTTAATTTCTTCTAGATACTCATGCTGCCAAATTACATACATGAAGCCAGAAACAACAGTAACCTTGGCTGTGGTGGGCATGCCTTCTATCTTGGTCCTCTGCTTAACTATCTTCTCTCTCTCCTCATCAGTCTTCTCAGGCATTTTCGCCCTGTACGGCGAGAAGGAAAATAATTCGATCGAGCAGATTATCTCAGCCGGCTTAAACCTTTGCTTTTGCTTTTTTTCCCCTTTCACCTTAGTAGCTTCTTCCTCAGCTTCTCCTCTGCCTTTTCTTTCTGAGCTGAAGTCAAACTCTTAGCCTCCGCGAGGTTGTCGACGGCGATAGCGAGGAAGACGTTGAGGAGGATATCTGTTTGCAAAGAGCTCAGGGAAAGAAATGAACCATGAATGTTAACATTATCTCCATGCATAGTTTAAAAAACACAAAAAACAAAATAATAGTGTGAGCGTATGAGAAGGATACAGTTTCCACAGACAAAGAGAATAATGAAGTAGATGGAGACCAGGATGCCGGGAATGACAGGCCCTCCATAGGCCATGATTCCATTGTACATGATGGATGTCCAGTCCTCTCCTGTGAGGATCTGAGAAACGGTTAAGAGTTTAAAAAGCAGAAAAATGATGAATTACTGTTATGCATGAATGGATAGGACTGGAAATTAAACTACTGATTGCAAAAATCTGTTTTAACAACTCAAATCAGTCATCACATCCGAGGCATTACTTTGGATCTTTGACCTCTTCTTCAATGTCAGATAAAGTCAAACTATCATAAAATGCCTTTTATCTTCAAAACTATCCTTGAAATTGTGCTGCCTCTGAGGTTTGAGCTTTCTGAGTGCTTCTTGTGTTTAAAAGTTTAAAGAAGAGCCTACGAAACGAGTGCCTGGTCTCACCTGAAACACGCTGATCAAGGCCTGAGGGAAGTTGTCAAAGTTGCTGCGCCTGGCTCTGTGGTCAGAGAAGTTAAACTTCCCTCCAAAAACCTGCATGCCCAGGAGTGAGAAAATGACAATGAAGAGGAAAAGAAGAAGAAGGAGCGAGGCAATGGAGCGAACGGAGTTAAGGAGAGAGGCCACGAGATTACTGAGCGACTTCCAGTACCTGAAACACAAACGACAGGTGGTAAATGGCAACGGGTTACGCTATAATAGCTTATACTGATATTACGGGGATATTTTACGCGATCTCGGCTCACTTTGTGACTTTGAGGATCCTCAGCAGGCGGATACACCTGAGTACAGAGAAACCCAGGGGAGCCACAGCGCCTGCAGACAGCATGATCATCTCCAG